AGTCGTGGATCAGGAGAAAAAATAAAAATACAAAATTTATTAAGGGCGACAAAGAACCGGATCATATAGAAAGACAGGATCGCCTGCGTCCTGAAGGGACACGCCATAAAAAGGAAAAGAGGAAAGGTTAATCAGGCAAACTAAGTTCTTACGATTATTAGGCCGTTGTCTTTTTTCTTTATTAATGATATGTGTTAATTTATTGATGATGTGTATGCCTATACATAGCTACCTATTGTTACGCCAACGTTATGATCGTTATTTATGTTGTTGTTATTATTAGTGTTTCGTTTTTTCCATATATTTTTGTCGTTGTATGGTGTTGACTCTCTGCAGTGTTTGGGATGTTTACTCTTTCGCCAGGATTTGTGCATCGTTTAGTGTTTGTTCATTGGAGGATAAGAAAATGTCTAGTTGTATAAAAGAGCTGTTTTTTATGCTCATGTTGTTGAACTAATTTATTGCTTCTTTTGTATTTTTGCATTGGTTTATATTTAGTATGGCCATTGAATTTGCATGTTTTTTTTTTCTACAATTCGCTTACTTATATTTTTCGGATGTTGGTTTTCGTGGGGTTTATTACTCTGCATGCTGTTTTATTTAAGATGTTGTCTTTTAATGAATGGTTCTATTTTCCGTAATTTTTTGATTATGATGTTTAGATTTAATTTGGCTGCAATGATTTTTGCTTCTTCGTTTATGTCATTTTCCAATTCATTTTTGATGGTGTGGTATTATTTGTTCATCTCTTTTTTTCTATTTCTTTTTTGTAGTTGTTTGTTTCTATTTTTAGATATATAATGCCATCACAAACACGGACACGGAAGAAAAAAACTTGCATAGGGGCTACAGAAACAATTTTAAAGAAAGATTTAATAACCAGCAAACGCCACTTAAAACAGAAAAAATACAAAAACAACGCAAGACTATCAACATACACGTCGAAAAAAATATCATTAGCAAAATCAAACAGGAAATTGTAAAAAAGCAGCCTCACATAATATCAATAACAGAAACTGTGAATTGCATTTTGAGGAAAGAAAATAGCAGAAAAAAAAAAAAACTAAACTAAACATGAAAAATAATTTGGAAAGGATCTACTTTGCTATTTAACAGCTAAAATTAATCAAAGAAAAAAATACAACAGAAAATTCAATCCCATCAAAAGGAGAACGCTTCATACTTAAAATTTAAAACATTTTTTCTACATGACATGTCCTTTCAGGACGTAGGCGATCATGGCCCTCCACCGCCCTTTAACCCTTGCACCTCTCAACAAGTTCCTTCCCTCCGCCATCTCCCTACACCACATTCTGTCATCCACTTGCTTACGGCCGCTAGGTATGTCATGCGTTGTTTTCCCTTGTCTCTCTTTCCCTCTGCTCGATTCGTGAGTATCAGATTCTACAGGCCCTGCTTCCTTGGCCATCCCAATATGTCTACGGATCTCAGTATCGCATCCACCCAGAAAAAGATTAACTAAAACATCAACATAAATAATCAATAAAATAATACCCAACTATGCAAAACACTCGCAAATCCAAACATAAAAATTACCACAATTACACCTTTTACATAAGATAAAAACAAACATACGCTAAATATAACAAATCAAAAAAAAAAAAACAACAACTCACAAACACAATATACACCAAGCGCACATGAAGAAAGATAAAGAATACAACCTACTAAAATTACATATAAAGCTAACAACCGTAACTACGCGAATAGGAACACCCACGTATAAACGCACGCACATCAACACAAGCAAAAAGTTAGAAGCGCACACACGAACACACAAGCTTACAAGTTCGTATGTATATGTGTATGCATAGTTGTGCACAGGCATACACGCACTCCCGCACAATAATAAATGCATACAAAAAATATCAGCTGTGACCTTAAATGGTCAAATCAATAAAGCACAAGAATTCAGTCCGAAAGAATAACACTAAACCAGAGGTCAGCGGAAAACGCGAGGAATGAAGAACAAATAAATTAACGAAATAAAAGAAAGATAAGGAGAAGAAAACAAGGCAGCAACGAGGTAACATAACACTCATCAAGCGAATAAAAAGGAAAAAAAAACACCACACTCACACCACAATATATAAACACAAACAAGTCGAGAAATATCAGCAGAATAGTCCAATTCAGCTCTGAAGAGTAGTCACATAACTATAAAAACACGAAACCTCGAACTTAGAATGGCGGAAATACTGCCCACCTAAGTGAAAAAAAAATGATATTAATTCTATTAATGCTTTATCTCTATCTCCGATATTGAGCACTCAGCCACTAAGCCTGCTTACTTTAAATACATCTCTATCAGCAAACCACTGAAAAATCAGCAATTTTCGTTTCAAAAACCGTCACTCAAATTAACACATATATATATATTTGTGTGTGTAAGAAAATGATCAATGTGTTTTCGATTACTGTACTAAAATTTTGATATACCAAAATTCGATTAGTGTATACATATTACTCGATTAGTTGGGTAAAATATTCTTCAATTTAAACATACTAATTGAAAATTATTTTTTTATAGTTACCGATGTACATATTAGACGCACTAATTGAGGTATTCCTGCAAAAAAAACTTGACAATGAATGGTGTTTCTATCGTTAGTATTCATTATTGTATCGGTTGTGATATTACTTATTAGTATCTCTCTCTCTCTCTCTCTCTCTCTATATATATATATATATATATATATATATATATATATATATATATATATATATATATATATATTTAAGTTAAGTTACGAAGAACTTGGTAAACCGAATGGGTAATTCCAAGGAGGATGAAATCCTGAGAGCTCAATGTGAATCCAGAGCTAATATTTAATGAAAAAAAAACAGACCACTTTAAGGTACCATTACAATAATTTATTTCACCAAAATCCTTTTTGAAGGACTCAGGATCATCATGTTTTTTTTTTTTTTTTCGTTGTTGGAAGTGTTACCTGATGATCCGGAGTCCTTCAAAAAGGATTTTGGTGAAATAAATTATTGTAATGGTACTTTAAATTGGTCTGTTTTTTTTGTTTTTTCATTTATATATATATATATATATATATATATATATATATATATATATATATATTCATTTTCTTATCTGTACATTTTCTTATCAGAAACATCGTTAGCAGAAGACCTCAAATAAATTTCCAAAGAAAATTGTTAAATATCACAAAAAGATTTTTTTTTCGCTCCTAAAGAAACATTTATGCTACTCCTCGTGGAATCTAACGCTATTGATAATTGAAAAGTGGTTTTCCCTGAATTTCCTTTTGTTATTGAATCGAGTTTTTACAATTTGTCGTCTTCGTGAATAAACATCTGCATTTGCTTATATTTGTGGGATTTGATGGTCGACTCACTGGAGAAGTAACCGAATGCATGTAGCATGTACAAAACATCGCATCGACTGAAAACCGTTCCTTTGCCGAAATGATGGATTAGGCATGTGTCCAGAAAATTCACTTAACCTCAATTCCTCGATAATCTTGGAGACGTCATGAAGAAATATAATGGAAATATCCCACTGTATTCGGCCAAACAAAAGTAATATTCACGTCAGCGTTTGACGTTGGCGATTGGTAATATTTTAATGGAATTAAAAGACGAACAGAAACTTGTAGGATACATTCTTCGCTAATTTCAAAGTAGTTTGTATTTCATATAATTCGACTGTAAATAAATTAAAATTTATTTAATGTAAGTTTATTTACTGTGGTTTGCCAAAATAAAGCTCTGTTCGTTTTCGACATCCTTTAAGTTTTGAAGTAGGCTATGTCTCTTTCATTGTATATTTGTTGGCCAATGATTCGCAAGTTATATATAATTGACTACTAGCGTTCTTTACTCAGTGACATTTGCATTTTACAAACTCTCTTGTATCAGACTACTGTATCTTTCAAACAATTATTTTCACCTTGTACAAGGCCAAAATGCCCTTATGTGTTACAGAGTATGATGCATGATTTATGGGGATATGTGGGATATATAACGTGTGACCCTAGGCTTAAACAGGTTAAGAATCAGGGATTGAGAAACCATCCTCCTGGCGCTGGTTCTACAAATCAAGGTTTCGTGGGCAGAAGCAGCTTGAGTGGAGCTTAGATATATATTGGAACTTACATGGTGTTTTGCTACAATGTGTGGGGCATGGCGTCACTTAGACGTGAAAATTAGAACTAGTGCAACTAAAGAATGGAATTCGTCTGAAATAACTCCATAGAGATAATGATATATTTAGGGAGAGGCTTGCAACATTTCGGCTGTCAGAAAGGAATAAAAAAAAAATAATTCATCACCTACAAGGATGCGAAACTATTTAAACTCAATCAAGACTCGAAAGTGATTTCAGTGCCTCTCCTCCCCATATACGGCAGCAGTACTCCACTTTCGGCTAGATCTGGCTCGTATAATTGCAGATGATAGGAGGAGGAGTATGGTACTCATCAGCGAATTAATAGAAACCGATTATTTTTCAGGCAAGTTTAGCGATGGATCGTTTGACTGAGTTTCGTTTGAGGTCTGGATTGAGCTTAAACCCCATGAGAGAACATCCGTTCATTCGTATAGGTGAAAATTCAGTGTCCGCTCGGGAATGATGACACGTCATCAGTTTGTATTTGTAGCATGAAATGTGATAAGCTAACCAGGATGTGGTGATCTAGAGTTTTAGAAGTGAAACCCTATACCGTTCTATCATCAGTATAGATATTCACAAATGATCGAATTTTAAAATAAAGCATATCAATTATGTAAAGGAGAAAGAGGGCTGGATGGAGATGCGAGTCTTGGTGGAGGCCTACGCTAACACCATGTGCCTCAGAAGACTGGAGGTTAACAACTACCTTCAGGGACCAACCCCTTAGGAAGTACTTGATTACTAAATAGTCCATTCCAGTGATTGCACAGCTAGAGAGCTTTTGCATTGACCTTCTTTGTCACACTTTGTCCTCATCTTTTTATGACGAAGGCGCTTGCAGCCATATCATTTTGAAACGCGGGTTCCTCTGCAATCATCGAAGGTAAGAATCATTGTGCCTGGTCAGTATCGAGATGGGTGACCACTTGTGAATACTAAGTGTTGTAAGCATAGATATGCTGTCGGAGTAATGAACAGCATCACGGAATAGGAAATCGGAAAGCTGAGTTCGAATTCCAGTCGGGTTCGTTACATTCATTTACGAGCAAATGCCCTTGAGAAATGTATGAATTCATCTCTTCTCACCTTTCAGCTTATGGGTTAAATAGTACGTCATGTATTAATTAATCATGAAAGAATGTCTTAGTTTCGAAAAATATTTTCTGCAAAAGGTTGATAAGCCATAAAAAAAATCTCATCTTTTTAACTTTATGTAAGCGATAAAAATATCATAGCTGCAATTCTAGTTTCGCTGTATGAGTTTAATAGATGTGATTAGAAAACGTATCCATGTCTTATCTTTCTTCTCTTTTAGATTATTATACTGAATTCGACTTGTACCGTATTCAGTAATCTCCCGTCAATATTGAATGGAAGATTTCCTTTGATATACACGATCTACGTTGCTAGATGTTACTTTCTGTATATTTCTTTGAGAAATTCAAAATCGTAACTAAAATTATTTCCTGACGATACGATAAGATATTTATCTACGTTTTTTTCTCCTAAGCTATGGGTTAAGACACGTATAAATAAATCATTATTATCTCCAAAAATGTTTTACAATGCGAGAATATTTTCTGACTTTAATTACCTGCAAAATGTTGATAAGCCGTAAGAAATGGAATTAATCAGTTCAAATCTATTATTGTTAAACGATGAGAGTGTCTCATGTGAATTACGTGTAATCCTAAAGGTTTTTGAGGTTGATTTTCAATCTAGGTTATTTTTCTGCTTGCGTAAATTTGATGAGAAACCATCATTCTAATAACATTTTTCATTAACATGGCCCCTATTTTGCACTTAGATCAGAATGTGTATACCCTCGAAGAAAACCAGAAAGAAAAGTCTATTATTTGTGGCTTATATCCCTCATGTTTTCTTTAAATTTATCTTTTAAATATACAATAAACTTAAGTAGTTATTTGGAATTGAAATGTTTCCGTTTTATGGAATAAGAAATATTTTACTGTAAACAGAAGACATTAACCTTTGAACATTTTATTACTGTTAGTCTTGCGTAAAGATCTGATTAAAATATAAAATTCCGGTTTTCATAAGGTTTTATATATTAACCACTTTGTTTTTGCTTTTGACAGTTACTTAATCAGAGCACTTACAAAATATTTGAATAACGTAAGCCTATCGATTTTAGAATTTCCTTTACTAATTAAATATCTCTACGATTCTCATACTAAGAATGATTAAATGCTTTATTATGATAGTTAAATGGCATACGCAACCTTTAAATTTATGCAGTTACTGTTTATATGAATTTTATGCTTTTGGACGTAAAGTTTATTTACTTGTTTTCTCAGTCTTGTCAACCTTTTGTGTGTTATTTAAAACTGAAATATATATTTGGATTGTAAATAGATTTCTACATTTGCGAATAAATATTGTATTAAAAACGTTTGCGGAGATAACAATGTACTATTCAAGAAAAGTAGTTTACTATTTAACCCATAGCTAGGAGAGAAAGGAGAGATTCTCACTTTTCATAAGTACATTTGATCATAAGAATACGTAACTCGACTGGAATTTGGCCCTAAGGAAAAAAATATGATTGCCGAAACTTATTTAAAAGGAATCTCATGCCAAGTAACACTTTTTTCTCGGCAGTGAACACAGAGGTAGATAGGATCAGATATCGTGGTTGAGATAGATAGATGAAAGTGCAGGCACAGAGCATATTAGACGGAAAATAAGAGAGTCAGGCAAGCTGATGGAGGGAGGTAAAATAAGTATTGTTGTTTCTTCTTAAAACAGGAACATTTCTTTAGAATCAAATAAAAGAATGGTGAAATGCTATGTAAGAGGTTTTGGAATATTTCCTATTTAAGCGACACATTGCAGACAAGAAGAACAAAGGGAAAATCAAGTACCTACCAGACGATCTTATGGAAACAGATGAGAGAACAAAGAATTAGAGGAATAAGAAAATATAGTTATTGCTAATAATATGTTGCGTATAACCGTGATCGCCTACATCCTGAAGTGATAATGGACATAAAAGAAGTAGGAGTTGCTCTTAAGAATAGTTTGACATTAAAAGCAAATAGAAGAGATGATTTGTTTATTGTTTAAACAAATTCTCCGTCTGATAACACTTTTACATAATAATAATAATAATAAATAAATAATAAATAATTGCTAACTTTAGACAAATATTTAGGCATGATAAAGGCAAGAATGAGGAGAAAATCGAGTAATCTACCAAACAAACTTATATAAACGAATGGCAAAGCAAGGAGTGGGCGGGAATAGGAAAAAAGTTGATAAGAGCTGTGATCGCCCACGTACTGAAATGACACAGTACATCAGAGAAGAAGGAGTTGGTCATATGAAAAGTTTCACATTAAAAAACTAACAGAATAAGAGATGATACAGTAGATAAAAGAAAATATATTGGTCAATAAAAGTGTTAATATCCCATTTATCATCCACCCGGCTATACTGACAGTTATCGTTGTGTGAGTCCGACACAAAATTCGCCTATCAAATATCACAGCAAACAGAAGAAAAAAAGTTAAAGAAACAACAGCACTATTTATGATACAGTGTCGAAATTGTATGTGGTACGGTCAAGAAATTCTTCAAAAACAATTTCCACTCATTCAGATTTTATGAAGTAGGTAGAGCTAAAAAATCTTCAGCATATTTTCGGAATGTCAATGTTTTTGAAAAAGTACGGAGCATTTTTCAAAATTGAGTTTTGTGAGGGGCCCGATCGTTCATTGATTTCTGTTGCTGTTATCCCAGATCTACTCTGTCTGAGGGTGGTAGCACCGGTTAGGGTCCCAGCTATGGGCAAATAGTGAACCCAAAACGGGAGTCAAAACATGAAAATATGGAAATACATTAGAAATAATTAAGAGCAATATATTTTCATAGTAAGTAAAAAAAAACAAAAAAAAAAAAACTTACTTATTTACATTATTTACATTGTTCGGACTGTTGTTCCCATGTTTGTTGCCATATTCACAACGTTTCAGCTGTTGTACACTCCGGCCTTCTTCAGGTGATTGGGATTTCGTAATGAACCATTTATTCCATCCACCAGGATAGATTGTTCTAGATCTACGTGTCATGCTTTTTCCGGATGTCTCACTTATCTTATTTAAACTCAGCTCTCCACGTTTTTGTTTACTACTGCAGTAGCCAGTCCTTGATGACACGTAGTTCAGTGGATAAAGGCGTTAGTTCGTTCCACTGACTTGATCCAAAGAACTGTGAGATAATCCCTAACAACTGATGTGGTGAACAAAATCTGTGATAGACAATTACGATCCAGAAGAGCTTCGATAACAATTACTCAGGTGCTGTTACGACATCGTATTGTTTAACCAGCGTCATAACAACTTAAGATCAGTAATGAAGTAATTGTTTGCATATTAGTTAGCTTTAGTCGCTAAATATATTAAGAAATATAATTCAAATTCAAGAGGTGCAACTTCTACGTACTTTGTGAGTTACATTAGAATATTTTTTATTTACCTGGTTGTGCTGAAAATCTCACGGGCCAATCAGTATTTCAATAACCAAACATCAAAATCCAGATTTTTAGATGTCGGAATTTTCAGCGGCTATTCGGAATCAATTTGGAATTAAAAATATCCTTGATTATATTTTCCAAGTATTAAATCTTTTTGTTTAAATGTTTATTTTTCGCAAGTAAATCAATTCAGCTAATCATTATCCTTCGATTAAATAATGTTAGAATATATTATTGTATATTCAACGACCCGGATCATGCATATCCATTTCTTTGCTTTCATTTCAAAGTTTCGTTCGTTTTCTCCTGAGACATTTATTAGATATATGTTTCTCTTAATCATTTCACCACACCCAAGCAAGGCAATAATGCCACTAAGATGCAAAGTGATACTTGGTGTGAAAGAGAATGAGGCGACAACATTGAGGAGAAAATAAGACAGACCATTGCAATCGACGTTGTATTTGCATTTTGAAAGATCGACTGTCGCAGGGAAGCAAGACACTTGAACAGATTTCCAAAGACGTGAAGTGCGAGAAAAGAAAATACTAGAATAGAACTTACGGTTATATTTAGTGATTTCAACAATAAAAAATATGAAACCTATTTGCCAATTTAGTAGTGTGTTTAATTACACGCGGTAGAGGTGACAAGGAAGAGAACGCATTAGAAATATTGTCATAAAAGACAGAGGTAAGATATGACACAGTGGTGGGCAAGTGATAGAAGTTGAGATGCCAGGTCAGGACCGATAAGATTACACACTATTTTGTATTTTGTCGAGAATCTCAGGATATATTGCAGGAGCACCAATCCAAGAATATTAGCAATAATCATTCCATTACATTATTATCTTTCAAGTAAATAATATTAGGATATATTTTCCCCGAGATATTTAATGTCGTTGATGATTTACATGATTTGCTTTGTTTTCATCACAAATTCTTATTCTTTTTATCCTGAAATTATATATATATATATATATATATATATATATATATATATATATATATATATATATATATATATATAAAATGAAAATAAAGTCAACACTTAGAGGCGACAGTCTGTTTCATGCTATATGCAATCGTCAGACCAATCGGTGGCCTGACGATTGCATATAGCATGAAACAGACTGTCGCCACTATGTTGACTTCTATTTTCACTTTTATATTTACACGCTCTATCTCTGATATCGAGCACTTTATCCCATAAATATAATTATATATATATATAAATATATATATATATATATATATATATATATATATATATATATATATATATAAACTGATCACCAAGTCCCTGAATGTACATTATACCTTTTGTTATATGAAAGGGAAAGACGTGGTATCATCGATTCTAGGTGGTAACGGGGGGAAGGCATTCAGGGGAACACAAGCTCTCTTGTTGGATTAGTATTCCGCCACGTGCGGCTGGCCTCTCTAAGGAAT